TTTCAAAGATATTTTCCTTTGCAGAATCATCACAACTTTATACAATAAGCAATGCGGGATTTGGTCTAGATGATAAACAGGTCAGGATTACATCTTTCTTATTTGTTCTCTTTTTTATGTTTATGTAGTAAATTTTGCTGTCTATATGTAGGGATCAACTGTTGCTTTGTTTTCAGATTACAGATTTAAGAAATTCGATTAGCCAGATCGTACTTGATCTATCGGGACAAAATGAAGATCTAGTCGTTGCCACCATGAAATTACTAACTGTTGCGGCAAGATATCAGGTTGCTTCCCATTGTTTCTTTGATTTTCTTGTCAGTCCTTTGCTGTTATTTAAATTTCTGTTTGTGCCATGCAGTCAATCTTCATGATTCTCCAGTTTCATCATACTGAAAACTTGTTTCATTTTATATCTTGTTTCTTCAGCCTGCTCTTTTATTTGCCATATTTGATTCAACCGAAGACTCAGATGCTGACAACTTAAAAGAGTCTGGCAAAGATGCTTCCTCAGTTCCTGATTGGGCTTGTAAATCTCGCTTATTGCACACTATCCTGCAATATGTAGAGAGAGCAGCTGATTTTTTCGATAGGTACGTCAAAGGCGAAATATTTCTTTCAATCCGTCTCCTAATTACTAATATTTATGCTGATGGTCTCACTTTCACCAGATTCACAGACATATTACTGAGTTTACTTGAATTCCTGAAAACCCTTTGGCAAGAGGCTGGTCAATACGCGAATATGTTGGAACCATTTAAGGCGTCAAAAATTTTATGGCAGCAATTTTCCAACATTATATCACAGGCGTCTAAGCTAAAAGACCCGACAGTTGGAAGTTTAGGCAAGGAAGAAATCTCTAAATTGTTTGTGAAATATCAGTGTCAGTCTTCTGTTTTGGAAATTATGGCTTGCAACATGTTTTTGAACAAGAAGTTGCTGTTTGCGAATTCACTTAAAAAACCATGCGTGGAGCTGAAAGAGAAGACAAACAATGCAGTATCTCCACCCAAATTAACTTGGGCAGCTGATTCAGATCCCAAGGATATCTTTTCAAAATGGTGTGACGTATCTATTGTGGATGGCCTTATCCAGTCAGTTTCTTCTTTAGATGGTGAAAGTGAAACAAATTTCCAAGCAAAGGTACGTATTTCTTTGACCTGGTGTTCTGATTGAACTATGTTCATTGATTTTAAATGTTGCTCATTCTGCATTGATAGGTTGCTGGCGTTTTACTTATTGTGCATTTGATTGTGAAACTGGAAACATCCGGGGCAGGAGCATTGTCTATAGTTTTGGTTGGGAAGATCAAACTCATATCAGAAATGGTATGTTACTCTCTTTTGGCTTGATCTATATCTTTGGTCCTATCGATGCATTTTCCAAAGCCTTTTCATATCTGTTCTGACGCCTTTTAACAACATGCTGACAGCTTTGTGCTCAACCTGCCTTTTCTGAGTTGGTGGCACAATATTCAAAACTTGGTTATAGGTAAGACCATTGTTTCTTACGTTTTTTCTGAGTTTTTCTAGCATGTCTTTGCCAATTTCTCAATTTCGTGACACATTTATCTTTCTTAAATCTATGGTCGGCATGCTTCTCTTTGTATCTTAAATCATTTGTTTTCATAGCTTCACGTTTTGCTTATATCCTGTTGTGTTCTATTGCTAGTGGAGGAAAGGAGTCGATGCCTTTGATTCTCAGTGATCTATACTGTCATCTACAAGGAAAACTTGAGGGTCGTGATATCCCAACTGGTCCATTCAAAGAGCTTTTCCAGTTTTTAGTTGAGTCGAGCTTTTGGGAGACGTACAAACAGAAAACTAATTTGGACGTAAAGATGGCTTTGGGGGACAGTATCTTGTTTGACACTCAGCAAATACGGACAGAATTAGGTACTGATATTTGGGATTTCTCCGAGTGGAAGACATCTAAAACAACAGCACAGGAAATGTTGAGTCACATGCAGAGAGCAAACTCGACGGTTTTACTCTCAACTTCGCAGCTCTCTGTTTTGCATGCATTGATTTCCGTCTTGATACTCTACGAGGATAATGTAAGTTTCTTTGTTGTAAATAGATTTTTCTGAAACTTACTCTTAAATATGACTTATCCCATCATGATTTAGATACATCTAAATGCTACAATTTATGTGCAGTCTCTTGAAGAAAGTGCGGCTGTGGAAAGGAAAGTCCCTTCTCGAGTCACTCTCTCAAGCATTGATGAAGTGTGCCGAAAATTCTGCACCACGATTGATTCACTTGCCTCTTTCTGGGATGCACCCAAGATTGTGTTTGATGTTCTAACAGCACAGGCAGACTTGCTATCCCGTCTCTTAAAATCAGGGAAGAAAAATCTGTCCTTATCTACTTGTGCACTTGTCCTGAGAAATGTTGGGCCTGGCCTCAAAATACTTGGTAGTTTAAGGCATTCAAATGCTATACTGAAGAAGACAATCAACCTCCTGCTTGAGGTGCTGCTCCTGGTCGTGGGTTTTGGTTCAGATAGCTCAAACTCGAGTGGGATGGGACATGTGGTGCCTGCCAAAGATTTTGCAGAAATATCTGATGCTACAATTGGATTATTACCCCTTCTCTGCAACTTCATGGGGAATCCCGAGTACTTGACTCTCTGCCTGACCATGGTAGACTTGATTCTCCGAAATTTTCTGGCGCCAGAGACATGGTTCCCTATTATACAGAGTCATCTCCGCTTGCAGCATGTTATTCTACAGCTTCAGGATAAGAAATCCACGGTATCCGTTTCAGCAATACTGAAGTTTTTCCTAACAATTGCTCAAGTTCATGGCGGTGCTCAGATGCTTCTAAATTCTGGATTTTTCTCAACTCTAAGAGCTTTGTTCATTGACTTTCCGGATGGAATGTCTACTTTGGTATCTGACAACGAAAAGGGCTCGCTGCTAGAAAAGACGGAAAAACCTCAACATATCTGGGGAATCGGTCTGGCTGTGGTTACGGCCATGGTTCACTCTCTAGGATCCGGTTCTGCGGGTGCTGAAATTGTGGAGAGTGTCATATCTTACTTTTTCTTAGAGAAAGGTCACATGATCTCATATTATCTCGCCGCACCGGATTTCCCTTCTGATGGTCGTGACAAAGTAAGACATCGTACACAAGAGACGTGGACTTCCCTTGCTTATCTGAGAGAAACCGAGCATACGCTGCTTCTGATGTGTGCGTTAGCAAGCCATTGGAGATCATGGGTCAAAATAATGAAGGAGATGGATTCTCCATTAAGAGAAATGACTATACATCTCTTGGCCTTTATCAGCAAAGGCGCTCAACGCCTCAGAGAGTCTCAGAGCCAATCATCACATCTGTTATGCCCTCCAGTGCTGAAAGAAGAGTTTGATTCCTGCAAAAGGCAGCCATTTATCAACAGCAAACATGGATGGTTTGCCCTAGCGCCTTTAGTCTGTGTCGGAAAACCCAAGCTCACTGCAGTGTCAATCTCAACCGCTCTAGTTGTCAGGGGACAGACGACAGAAGATCCAGGATCTGTTGGTCAAACACAGTTTTCAGACTCGGTTGCGGTGCAGATTTATAGAGTGGCTTCTCTCTTGTTGAATTTTCTGTGTTTACAAGCAGAGGGTGTTGTGAAACGGTCAGAGGAAGTGGGATATGTCGATCTTGCTCACTTCCCTGAGCTTCCAGAGCCCGAGATTTTGCATGGTCTACAGGTACGATAACTCAAGAAGAAGAAGAGTTGTTTGCAGTGTAGTGTTTTTGTGTTTGTTTATTTGTTTTGAATGTGTATTTTTAAAATGCAGGACCAAGCCACCGCGATTGTGAGTGAGATGTGTGAGAACTACAGATCCAACGAGGTTCCTGATGAAGTGAAGAAGTTGTGCCTTGTGCTGCTACAAATGACAGAGATGTCGTTATACTTGGAACTCAGTGTTATTCAGGTTTGCAGGATCCATCCTGTCTTTGGCCGTGTGGATAACTTCTCCAAAGACTTCAAAAAGCTGCTGAAAGGTCTTTCTTCTTCTCCTGAAGATTATAATAATACAAACTGGTAAAAGTGAAATATTGGTTAACATTTTTTGGCTCTGGATCAGGTGCTCAAGTGCATGCGTACTTAGAAGCGTCCATGGATTCACTGAAGAAAATAGCTGTGTTTCTGTATCCCGGATTGCTATAGCGAACCTGGCTTGAATCTGGTGGTACGTATGGTTTAGATATCTTGATGATTTGATGTGAGTGATTATGAACCGGCTGTTTCGTATATGTTATATAGTCAACATTTCATATCGCAGTGTCTGAAATATATTCTCTTTGAAAATGTTCGGCTCATGCTGACCACTCCTTTTGGCCCGATCATAACGCCGTTGCTTTCATCTTTTCTAATCGCTTACCTCAACAAATTCTTTTGATTTCTCTTTCGTTCTAGACCGCATAAAGCGCATTTCTGTTTTGTTCTCTTTCAATAATCACGAATTCCACTGTATTCTCTTACTTGTAAAATTAGAATCCAAGAAGAAACAAAAACTAGCTGTCGTATGAATCACGTGGACTGTAACACATGTTATTCATCTATTTTGAACATTCGCATGTAAATATATAACGTCAGAGAAATCGGAAGAGCGATTTCTGAACAAAAGAATTATGAAGATAAGAGTTATTATTAGTTTCAGATAATAAGCCGTGCAAAGAAATCGGGTGGTTAGTTTTGAAAAGTTTGTGATTGTGTAATAGACACGTGTGACACGTTTGGAGCGGCAGGTTCAGGGGCATATGCCAAGTCTGAGATACTCATCCTACTGACTGACCCTACTTAACCGGTGGTCAGACTCTAACTTAACTACGGTTAGCTTTTTCAAGCCGTTGAGATCTTTCCACGTGTATGGATCGATATTTTTCACTCAGACGTTCGCCGCTTCCCTCCCGCTATAAATCACACCGCTAAATCCTCTTTCATCCACAACACAAGAGATCTCTCTTTCTCAACTTTTGATTTTCATTTCACGAACAACAACAATGGCGTTCCCTAAGGTTTTCTTCGACATGACAATCGGTGGGCAGCCGGCGGGAAGGATCGTGATGGAGCTGTATACCGATAAGACTCCGGAGACGGCGGAGAATTTCAGAGCTCTGTGCACGGGGGAGAAAGGAGTAGGCCGGAGCGGGAAGCCCCTTCACTTTAAAGGATCGTCGTTCCACCGTGTGATCCCGAATTTCATGTGCCAGGGAGGAGATTTCACCGCCGGGAACGGAACAGGAGGCGAGTCGATCTACGGGGATAAGTTCAAGGACGAGAATTTCGAGAGGAAGCACACGGGTCCTGGGAACCTGTCCATGGCCAACGCAGGTCCCAACACCAACGGATCTCAGTTCTTCATCTGCACCATCAAAACCGACTGGCTCGACGGTAAGCACGTCGTGTTCGGGCAGGTCGTCGAAGGCTTAGACGTGGTCAAGGCCATCGAGAAGGTCGGATCCTCGTCTGGGAAGCCCTCGAAGCCGGTGGTTGTCGCCGATTGTGGTCAGCTCTCTTAGATCATCTCCTGGTGTCGTTTAGTGAGTGGGTGTGTTTTGGCTCTGCTTTTGCTTACTGTTTTGTTCCATTTGGTGTCCGTTTGTAGTCTCATAATTATGAAGTTTCGAGAGTGTGTGTGTGTTTTCTCATAATCATCTCATGGCAGTCTTTTTGGATTGACAAGAGGTAACAGAGAACAAATTACCCACTCTCTTCACCCTAATTAACCACTACCATAAATAACGAGAGCTTCATTTTATCTTTCCAATTTTTCGTAAAATAAACTAGAAAAATCGAAGCCAAAAAATACAATCGCAGCTATGAGTAAAAGACGTTACTGATTTCATTTTGCCTGAATGGCCAAGATTGAAACCTGATAGTGCGACGGATGAGTAAAAGACGTTGTTATGAATATGATTGATGGTTGGTCCACACTCGACATATCTTACACAGTACTTGGTGGTCTCTTGGATAACACATGACACTTGTGCAGTGAGATTTAAAGAGAAAAGAAAACCAATTCTCCTTCTGTTATGGGCCTGAAGGCAGCAGACAGTACAGACATGAGTTATTTATGGCAGAAAGAAAATTGTGAGGAGTCCTAATGAAGCCCATACGTGTAATCTAATCTGACATTTTTTAAAATCGTATACAACAAGAAATCCAGTTTTCTATGATTGTTTTTGGTTGATCAAGATTGTACCTGGAATATTCGAATAAGTGTATTTTTTTCTCAAAAATTTCAAAAAAAAAACTCATCAGCAAGGCTGGCATTCTGGCAACCAGTTAATTAAGAAAACCGGTTCAAAAGACTTTACGGTAGTCTGCGAAGTTGCGGATTGGTACCGCGTAATTTAAAATGAAAATGGCCATTGGTAATATCCAAAATTCCCATGAGCTGTCGTCTCTAGAGAGGAGGAGGGAAGAAAGAAAACAAGTCTCTTCTCTCCAATTTTGAAATCGCCTTCAAAATTCTTGCGATTCTCCTTCCTCGTCTTCTCTCTTTCTCTCTCTCTCTCTCTCTCTCTCTCTCTCTCTCTCTCTCTATGTACGCATCTTTCCTCTGCGAACCAGGTTCCCTTTAATCTCCTTCCTCTTCTGGCGGACAATTCGCGATTGCCGATTGAAAGCGAATTGCCTTTGAACGAGGTTCATTCACTTCATTGAATTATATTTCGATACAGTAGAGAAATTGAGTGCTTGATTTTTGTTTCTTCTGGGGTAGATTGACGCTGTTTGCTGGAAAATAGAGAATCATAGAATAAAATCTCCGATAGAATGGTGTCGGACAATGAGAAGGGTTTGGTATTAGCTGTGGCGTCAAGCGTATTCGTGGGGTCGAGCTTCATTTTGAAGAAGAAAGGTCTCAAGCGTGCTGCTGCTAGTGGCACCCGAGCTGGTTCGCTTCCGCAATTACCCTCTCTAGTCTTTTTTTTTTTTTGGTGATTGATATATCATATTGAGGATGCAATTGCAGGGTTTGGAGGTTATACATATTTGCTAGAGCCACTTTGGTGGGTAGGCTTGGTTACAAGTGAGTCACCCCAATACTTCCTTCTTCCTTGTTCCCTTTTCCATAACTCTTAGGATAACTCTAAATAACTATGATTTCTATGTAACTCATGTTTAGTGACATTTGGAGAAATTGCAAACTTTGTGGCGTACGTTTATGCTCCGGCTGTGTTAGTCACCCCTCTCGGTGCCTTAAGTATAATCATCAGGTCTGCCTCTTGACTTGTCTCATTCTTATGTCTCAGAGATCTTTTTCACATCTTCTCTGACTGGCCTTGCAATTGTTTCCGTGATCACTAGTGCTGTTTTGGCACATTTCCTTTTAAACGAAAAGCTTAGGCAAATGGGAGTTTGGGGATGTGTTTGTTGCATTGTGGGCTGTGTCATGATTGTCATTCACGCACCTCAGGAGCAGACTCCCAACTCTGTTCAAGCAATCTGGAAACTCGCTATGCAACCAGGTTGAGATCTCTCTCTCTCTCTCTTTCTCTTGCACACACACCCACTCACATGTATTGTGCGTTTATGTCACTTATCTGGGGAATAACGTAGATTCCTTCTCTTTGAGGCAGCTTTTCTGATTTACGTAGCCGCATCAATGTCTATTGTCCTGGCTTTGATTCTCTACTGTGAACCTCTCTGCGGCCAAACCAACGTTCTTGTTTATACCGGGATTTGTTCCTTGATGGGTTCCCTCACGGTATGTTTTGATTATCCGAGCATCTTCAGTTGAGCTTTGAGCTCTCTTTGCTAAAGTCTCTGTTTAAACAGGTTATGAGCATAAAGGCCGTGGGGATTGCGATCAAATTAACATTGGAAGGGATAAACCAGATTTGGTACCCAGAGACTTGGTTTTTTATCATGGTTGCAACAATCTGTGTCGTTATGCAGATGATTTACCTGAACAAGGTAACCAAAAACCTCTCCTGCTTTGTATCTGTTAGGCCAATGGATAATTCTGATATGTTTTGAATTGCTCAGGCGCTGGACACATTCAACGCAGCAATCGTTTCTCCAATCTACTATGTCATGTTCACAACTCTAACAATCTTTGCTAGTGCCATCATGTTCAAGGTACGTAAACTCTAACAAAGGCTATGTTTGTTTGAAGATGGTCTTCGGAAAAAGAGTTACTAAATGAAATTAACTTTTGTTGCAGGACTGGTATGGGCAAAGCACAGACAGCATAGCCTCTGAGATATGTGGATTCATCACTGTGCTTACAGGAACAGTTATACTACATGCCGCGAGAGAAGAAGAAGAAGCTTCCCCAAGAACAAACAGATGGCACGATTCAGCAGCAAAGAGCATTAACGAAGAACGTCTGTTAGGTTAACAAGGTAAATCCTCAAAGTTAACCAAGTTGGGCAAGGATGTAGCTTTGTGTATACCATGTATCTTAGTTGCAGTTTCTTTCTTTTTTTGGGTTTTTAGAGAAAATTTGTCCATTATTTTTTTGAGTTCTTAGTACAGATTTGTTGTCATTGTGTAAGAATATACATAGATATATACGGTATAATATTGAATGTTATTGTTGACTTTGTGGTGTTTTTGAATGAGAGAAACGAAATTATGATGAGATTAGTATTTGATTAAGGAGCATTGAACAAGATTTCTGACCTTGTAGGAAAAGGAAAAACATTAATATAATAAAGGAAATTGTTCTAATAACCCTTATTGCTATGATAAATCGAGGACCGTCGGATCAAAACCCACAAAAAACCAAGTATATAAAGGAAAGGCTTGTTTGTGAGCGTTCTAAACAAGCGATAGCCATTCATTCATTCATACATTGAACCAAAGGCAAAGAGAGAAGCAAAGGAAACAATCAAATATGGCGGCTGCTGTATCATCTGTGTGGTCAAAGCCTGGTGCTTGGGCTCTTGAGGCTGAGGAGCACGAAGCAGAGCTCCAGAAACAAGCCCCTCCCTCCACCCAGGACTCATCCTCCTCCGATTTCCCATCCCTCTCCGCTGCCGCCACCACCAAATCGAAGAAGAAGAAGCCCCAAACCCTATCCCTCGCCGAATTCTCCACCTACAAGGCGGCGCCTGCTCCTTCCACGGAGCGCCTCACTCAGACTGAGCTCGCCTCCCTTCCCACCGGTCCACGCGAGCGCTCCGCCGAGGAACTGGACAGATCTAGGGGTTTCCGGAGCTACGGGAGGGATGAATCCTCCAATTCGAGGTGGGGTTCCTCAAGGGTTTCGGAAGATGGGGATAGGAGAGGCAGGGACAGGGAATCTGCCAGGGACTCGGGTCCCTCTCGTGCGGATGAGACTGATAACTGGGCTGCCTCGAAGAAGCCCATTGTATCAAACGGATTCGAGAGGAGGGAGAGGAGCGACGGATTCGAGAGGAGAGAGAGGAGCGGCGGATTCTTCGAGTCTCAGTCCAAGGCTGATGAAGTCGATAGCTGGGTCTCCACCAAGCCGGCGGAGCCCCGGAGATTCGTTCCTACTGGTGATAGATCCGAGAGAAGGGGAAGCTTCGAATCCTTATCTAGAAACCGGGATTCACAATTCGGCGGTGGCTCAGATTCAGACTCCTGGGGGAGGAGAAGAGAAGAAACCACTGGCGCACCACCAGCGAGCGGTGTCTTACGGCCGAGATTGGTGTTACAGCCACGTACACTCCCCGTGACCGTCGTGGAAGTGAAGCCGGAAGTGAAGCCGGAAAGTCCGGTGGCAGTGACAATTCCGGTAGAGAAACCTAAAGGTGCTAATCCCTTTGGAAACGCCAGACCTAGAGAGGAGGTTCTGGCTGAGAAAGGGCAGGATTGGAAAGAGATTGAGGAGAAGCTCGAGGCAGTCAAGTTGAAGGAAGTTGCTGCAGCCATTGAGAAGCCTGATGAGAGGTCTCCTGGGAGGATGGGTTTTGGTCTTAGCAATGGCCGTAAGGACGATCGTACCGAAGGAAGTTGGAGGAAAAGGTCTCTTCTTCTACTAGAAAACCTTGCTTGATTCATTTTTTCAGTTTGCTTTGCTTTGAATTTCTTGCTTGCTGTCCGATAATATGCACATTTTAGACTGGAAATAGTATGATGTTTAAGTGTCTGGAAATATTGATTATATAAGTCTAGTCTAAGAATTATAAACTTGGTGAGAGATATGGATCACTGCTTTGTATATGGATCACTGCATTGTTGAGTAGCTGAAGGAGAGACTAGTCTCTAATATATGATTACATTTTCTGTGCTATGTTTTTGAAATTTCTGCTTGATGAGCTATGGCTGTTTTCATTAGTGTGATTGGGTACTCTGTTATAAGATTGTTCTGACACTTTGGATTATTTTGTTTTTGAACTTTGAAGCACTGAGCAATCTGAGGAGAAAGCTCAGCATGAGGAACCTGCTGTAGAAGAGCCTAACAAGGAAGAGACTAACAAGGAAGAAGAGGCAATCAAGGAGGAAGCGGCTAGCAAGGAGGAAGAGGCTAGCAAGGAGGAGGCTAATAAGGAAGCCTCTGACGAGGAAGAGGCTGAGAACAAAAACTGAAGAGCCGAGAGGCGAAAGTTGAGTTGTTGAGGTTTAGCCTCTGAGAATTTGTGTTGTTAAATTTGAATGGTGATAAAGTTATGTGTGGAACTCGATAGAAAGTTTTGGTAGGGTCCTATTTATACTTTTTCTTCAGTCTTCTTCTTTGCATACTGTGTTACGAACTTACAATTGTTAGGTTTTTGGGTGTCTTTCTATGAGTTGTACAATTTGTTATTCGTTTTAACGTTTATGCTTTTCTTCGAATTGTGAGCTTCTTGTCTCTTTGTTGATACACGAGAGATCCAATTAGAGCTTTAGAGGATCCCTCAGGTTGAGCAAGCGCTAAGAGTGCACAACATGTGATGCCTAGTCGACTCTCTTGGTAGAGTCTTAATTTTAAAACTAGTCCAACACAAACTAAAATCGTGTAACAAAGAGACCAATTAAATACGAATAATTGGCGGTCTTTGTGAATGGTAGATACATGTGCATTCAAACTATCACATATTGTATCATATGGATTTACTACCTTTTTGGTTTAATGTACCAGGATATCGGTAGATTTTATGTAGCAATCATAATTATGGAATGATATCGTGATGTTCAAAAAACAAAAAGGAATGAAATCTTACCTACAACTTTCCTTAAACTGTTGCTGTTGAAACTTATATGTAAATTTGTTTTCAACTTGATACTGATCCTTCATCGTATTCATACGTATCTTTCATCATCATAAACAGTAATAATGAAAAGCATAACAGCAGTAACATTCTTGGCACTCTGTTTGACCGTAGCCGTTACGGCGAGTAGCAAGTCCTACTACGGGAAGACCAAGCCGGCCAATCTTACGGATGAGAAAGTGACACGTGTCCGCTTCTATCTCCACGATATCCTCAGTGGCCAGAACCCAAGCGCCGTCAGAATCGCACACGCCAACCTCACCGGCAGAGCAGATTCGCCGGTGGGATTTGGAAGCCTGTTCGCGATAGACGATCCGCTCACCGTCGGGCCGGAGAAAGACTCCAAGGAGATCGGAAATGGCCGTGGGATGTACGTCTCCGGGAGCAAAGACATTAATAAGTTCACGATCGTCATGTATGCCGATTTGGCGTTCACGGAGGGGAAATTCAACGGGAGCTCGATTAGCGTGTTCTCGAGGAATCCGGTGGCGGAAGAGGCCGGAGAGAGAGAGATAGCAATTGTCGGCGGTCGAGGGAAATTCAGAATGGCGAGAGGTTTCGTTAAAATAAAAACGCATCAGATCGACATGAAGACCGGCGATGCTGTTCTCCGATATGATGCTACTGTTTATCATTATTAAACCAATATTCTAATTCAAAAACATTACTAAAGCCAAATTTATTCACATTCAAATTGGAGTTTCGCAGTATCATTATGTCTTTCTGGAATAATTAGTTTAACCAAAATGTTGGAGAAATGATGCTCGAATCTTCTTCTTTCTTAAAAGAAAAATCTCAAAAACAAACCAGATTTTTTAACTGTGTGAGTCACTCACAGTGAGTGTGTGTTCAGGGTTTAAGCTGTGCTAGTGTGCTTTATTTTGTTAACTTTGATTAACATCTTGTGTGGCCTTGGACAAAACACATGTTATGATTGTTTGTTTTCGCTTCGGATCCTATCTATATTTTATCCAAAAAGGATATCAAATTTTATGATGAATTAAAAACTGAAGATGTGTCCTGCCTTGTATTATGATGTTGGCTCAGCGAAGAAAAAATAAACATTCCTCTAAAAAAACTCAAAATCACGTTGTCTTGGTATCTTTCACGTCGAAGAAGCCAGCTCATAGAAAGTGACCCCAAATATAAAACACAAAAAGGAAGACAGCGATACAAAGTACGAAACATGATAAACTCTCCATAAATTACAACCCAACCACTCCTTGAATACTCTCAATCTCCATATCTCAACTAATCAATCAGTTCACCTTTATCACATAATCATCTCACATGTACGAACTTGCATATTTCAGAAAACAGAAACGAAGAAAATTATAGTAATTATACACGATGTCTATCCTGTGAAGATCTAAACGTGTTGGTGTTTTGAAGTAGCGTAATTTTAATAAATAAAAGAGAGAGAGAGAGAGAGAGAGAGAGAGAGAGAGAGAGAGAGAGAGAAACGTATATTTGGCAACATTTTCGAACAAATAATAATCAAAAACAGAACAAAGGCGTAAAACGATAAACAAAAACAAGCATAACAACAGTTTGGTCTTAGTTTATTCGTTTATATAAAAAGGCATCGATCCTAATTCCTAACCAATACTCATCAGAGAGAGAGAGAGAGAGGCTCTTGTCTCTTAAGCTTGCATCCTCACCAATCCGAATAATGGGGTCTCACCTTTCGAAACAGCTGGAGCGTCGCAAAGCCATCTCCACGGAGAAGAAAGTCCTCACTGATCTCCAGAAATCATGCGGCTGCGAATTCCCGGGGTGTGATTACATGCCTTCCGATCGTAAAAACTGGATGTCCGGCGTGGGACCCGAAAAGCTTCACATGAACAAGATCGTGTGGCCAGGGACACACGACTCCGCCACCAACAAAATCGGAATCCGATTCGTATCTCGTCCCTTCGCGCAGTGCCAGTCTCTCTCCATCTACAACCAGCTCGTGGCCGGCGCTCGAGTCCTCGACATCCGAGTCCAAGAGGATCGCCGTGTCTGCCACGGAATCCTCAAGACTTACAGCGTCGACGTTGTCTTCGCCGATCTCAAACGTTTCCTATCAGAAACAGAGTCCGAGGTTGTCATCCTCGAGGTCAGAACAGAGTTTGGACACGAGGATCCGCCGGAATTCGACAAGTACATCGTGGAACAGCTCGGAGAGCATCTGATACACCAGGACGATCACGTGTTCGGCAAGACAGTCGCAGAGCTTCTCCCGAAGAGAGTGATCTGCGTTTGGAAACCGAGGAAATCGCCACAGCCAAAGCACGGCGATCCGCTGTGGAGCGCCGGTTACCTGAAAGACAACTGGATCGACACGGATCTCCCTTCGACCAAATTCGAGAGCAATCTGAAGCATCTGAGCCAGCAGCAGCCGGCTTCTTCTCGGAAATACTTTTACCGGGTGGAGAACACGGTGACGCCGCAGCCTGATAACCCGATACTGTGTGTGAAACCGGTGACAAACCGGATTCATTGCTACGCCAAGGTTTTCATAATAGAGTGCGTAAAGAGAGGATGCGCAGACAAACTGCAGATCTTCTCAACGGATTTCATTGATAAAGACTTTGTGGATGCTTGCGTTGGCCTCACCTTTGCAAGATCTCAAGGCAAGGCTTGAGAAATGAGCTGGAATTCGCGTACAAGACACTTTGCTCCCTGTGTATTATTATGTCGTCTGTATAAAAGAAATTCAGAGTGTGTGTGTGTGTGTGTGATTGTAGGCTGTATATTTACATTCGTTACTGAAAATAATATTGATCTACAATTCTTAGATATCAAACTCACGGAAAAGAATACAAAATCAGATAATAAGGCAATTTGTCTTCCTCATTTATAAGAGTATAGAGTATAAGGAAATCTATATAGTTTGATCAAACTCAAAAAGTTGGTGAAGATGATGATCTTATTCAGATTGATGCAACGTAACAAAAAAAAAGAAGAGTTAAAGTTGTGAATGATCACATGAATTCACGAGAAATGAAAGGAATTTTCCAATATTTTGGCAGATAAACTGCGAAAATACAAGTAATGGCAGTTCAACAGGTGAATGCAAGTATGATCTAGTCGAGAAGATGAATCTAGTTTCAACCTAATGCACATGTTTTCGATATCATGCTGCGTTGATGGATCTAGATAAAGAGAGATGATGAAACTAATTAGCATGGCAAAGACAAACCGAAAAACATGTACATTAGAAGCAAGTTTCAGTATATACAAGAGGCATCACAGCTCTTGCAGTATTCCAATCGGAGGACATGTAATCATTGTTGTTATGTAGTGGAACTTGAATAAGTGTCTAGTGCGTTAGGAAATCACAACTCCCATGTAATGAAAGATTACCTCTTATAGGCATAGAAGAAAATCCTTGCGAAAACAAAAGTTTTTTTTATCACCAACCAGAGAAGATACCATTGTAGGAACTGAGACCAATGTAGATCAAAGCCAACAAGGATTGCTGATCCGGGTCCAGGCCCGATCTGCTATGAACATTTCTCTATTCGGTGAAGATGAAGACTCCTTCTGTATATTAGATGCAGGGGAACTCTCTGTCTCCTTCAGCGGGTTTAGAAGGAGAATTATAAACCGAACGGCTGCCTTTTGAGTCATCGACAATTATTATTCTCGCTCACACACACAATGGATGCTAGTTTTGGCGACGATATGTGAGATTGGAATCATTTGCTCCGTCTGTAATGTGTACACTTAAAGAGAATTCACCACATTCTTCAAATCACAATCTTAGCTAGTTAGCTGGCATTATAATATATGGTTATGTCATCTTTCGCCTAGATACTGTAAATACGCACATTGTATACATATGATATGAGTCTATTTCACGTCCTACATATTTTGCCTTGCCCTTTTATATTTCGTCGAGAATCATCGAGATCTGTATGTGGTCATAGTCGTCTCGATTTACTTCATTGGAAATACGGTAACAGTATAAATTTACGCCTGCAAGTTGAACAACAATAAATGCGTATCGAGTGTCGATTGACCAGATTTTTTATTATATGAAAAAAAAACCTGTTTGACCACCAGTTGAAATTTTTGCTGACGTGGGTCACTCTTTAATGTTGTTGACTGCTCCAAAAACGTATAAAGGTAAGAAAACATTGAATGATCTCTCTATTCCCAAACTACCCTCTTTAATTTCATTTTCAGCGATCTAAATCTGACGGCTCATATTCCACCTGGAAAACACCCCAACCGTCCAGATACAACGGCTTACTGGGCCATACGATCCATTCTCTTTCCCGAAAAGGATAAATTTATTTATAAGCCTTAACACAGGCTGGCCCATCTCTTTACTCCTCTATTTTATTTTATTTTCTCTGCATATTCTCCTTTATTTTATTTATTTTTAATACAAAAATTGGTTTCAGATTCGTTTTCAAATTCAACGAATATTTATATTTATTTCAAATTCGTTTACAAAAATTACAAAGATATCAATTTTAATTTGCTCGGAGATACGATTTTGAATGGGAGAATATAAATCATTTTCTTTTTAAAGAAAAGGAATAAATGGTAAAATACCAGAGGGGATAGAATAAAACAATTTCCTTTTTTCATTTATATTTGTTTTGGCAAAATTGAAAATATATTTGTGTGGTGACGTGGCGGTCATACCCTTGCTACACCTCTCCTACGCATATAAACAGCGGCTGCGTGAAGAGATCTGTTGGGTGAATTTCTAGGGTTTCTTCTGAGCGTAAGATTTAGAGAGAAAAGAGCGTTTAGAGATTTCTATCAAAATGAGCGGTGACAACAACAGCGGTGGTGAGAGGCGCAGAGGCACCGTCAAGTGGTTTGACACCCAGAAGGGCTTCGGCTTCATCACTCCCGACGACAACAGCGACGATCTCTTCGTTCACCAGTCCTCCATCAGATCTGAGGGTTTCCGCAGCCTCGCTGCCGAGGAATCTGTCGAGTTCGAGGTCGAGACCGACAACAATGGCCGTCCCAAGGCCATCGAGGTTTCTGGACCCGATGGCGCTCCCGTCCAAGGAAACAGCGGTGGTCCATCTGGCGGACGCGGAGGCTTTGGTGGCGGTAGCGGAAGAGGTGGAGGTCGCGGATCTGGTGGTGGATTTGGCGCCGGTGGATACGGAGGAAGAGGTGGGGGCGGTGGCCGAGGAGGAAGCGACTGCTACAAGTGCGGTGAGCCCGGTCACATAGCCAGAGACTGTTCCGAAGGCGGTGGAGGATACGGAGGAGGTGGTGGTGGCTACGGAGGAGGTGGCGGAGGCTACGGTGGAGACAGAGGAGGAGGTGCCAGGTACGGCGGAGGTGGCGGCGGAGGTGGTAGCGGGTTAAGCTGCTACAGCTGTGGTGAGTCGGGACATTTCGCCAGGGACTGCACCAGCGGTGGACGTTGAAACTAACACCGATCCGGCGGTGTGGAAGGCTGAATCCGTCATCTCCAACATTATCAGATGGTCTTTTCGCCGCGAACTATCTCTTTTATTATCTGCTTTTGCTTATGAAATGGTCTTTGTCGTTTCTTAGTTTATTTTCTGGTTTCTCTCTTAATCTTCTGGATGGTTTCCGATTAGGACTTATGGTTATTGTTTTATGCTACTTGTTATGGTTTGTTCTACTTTTTATGGTTTATGTTACTTGTGATGGGTGAAATGCTTCTCTGCTCTATTTCAAACTTTTCTGGGTTTATTTTAATAACTAATCTTTGATTTCGGCTGTTTCACTTTGAATCTCTTGTTGAATTTGGAGACGATAGATGATATACAGCACAAATCTTCATAATCAATTGCTTATGGTTGCATTCAATGTCGTTTAGTTAATGGACTGGATGGAATTTAACACCTATTGCAGTCACCATCATACTCATTATTGTTACTGTTCTTAAAAAATTGAAATGTTGTGATCTCCTCTTGTCTCGCCCGTCTTAAACGTCACCGTTTTCTATGATCGTTGACGCTCGTATTTTACTGAAGCTGCATTTTGGGTCCCCCAATTCAGTAGCTTACTGGATAAAGTGGTTTAAACGGGTTTAGCCCATATGTGAAGATTTATTATATCTATTGGGAGAATCAATTAGTTATATTGTTATCTTGTTAGAAATCGCATATCAGAGTGATCTTAAAATTCGCATGTAGATAGGTCCACCACACCCAAAGTCCCACGTGCATACTGCTGCCAAATGGAGGAGCTAGCCAGAAAACCTGATCATTTAACCGGTTCCTGAGCATCAGCATTCAAAAATTCGATTTCGGTTTGATTCGGTTCAAAATGGTTGACTTGAGAGAGAAAAGAGTCTCACTCTCTCTCTCTTCTGTTCTTTCCTTCTTCCGCCGCTCTTTGTTTGTTTCATTAATAAAAGTAAAGTTGGTGTTGGCTTTACTCTCATTTTACTTTCTCCATCCTAATCTCTCTCTCATTCTCGATTGTTTTAACTTGATGGATCGAATCCTCCTGTTTATGATCTTTGGAGTCTTCCTTTCTCTTTCAGTTTCAGGTGATTGATATATTTATGCGTTCGATTAATAGTTCCTCTTTCGGGAAGTTTCTTTCAATAATCTATCCTCTTTACTCCTTTTTGATTCGATTGATTTTCCGGTGGCAGAAGTTGAGCCCATTTCGTTCAAGATTACCAATCGTTGCCGGAACCCAATATGGCCCGGTTTGCTCTCCGGCGCTAACTCAGCGCCGCTCCCCACAACCGGCTTCCGCCTCGCCAGAGGAAAATCCAAATCCGTCACAATTCCGCCGTCGTGGTCCGGTCGTCTCTGGGCACGAACCTTGTGTTCGCAAGATCCAAGCTCCGCTTCTTTCGTCTGCTTAACCGGTGACTGTGGCTCCGGGAAGGTCGAATGTTCCGGCTCAGGAGCTAAACCTCCAGCAACGCTCGCCGAGTTTACTCTCAACGGCACCGGAGGACTAGATTTCTACGACGTCAGCCTCGTCGACGGCTACAACCTCCCGATGCTAATCTTGCCCAAGAGAATCGTCGTCGGAGGCTGCGGAGCCACGGGCTGCCTCGTGGATTTGAACGGAGCGTGTCCCAGAGACCTGAAACTGGTGGCGCGTGGGAGAAGGAACGGGGTGGCTTGCCGTAGCGCGTGCGAGGCGTTCGGGGACCCGAGGTATTGCTGCAGCGATGCGTACGCGACGCCGGACACGTGTCAGCCTTCGGTTTACTCTCTCTTTTTCAAGCACGCGTGTCCTCGCGCCTACAGCTACGCGTATGACGACAAGACGAGCACCTACACTTGCGCCACCGGAGCCGATTACGTCATCATCTTCTGTCCGCCGCCGTATACAAGGTCACATATTCAACCTGAGTTTAGTTAGGCTGGAAGATTCGATGATTCGTAGGAATCTAATGAGTAATCAAATCCGTTGAAATGATTGAATAATTATTAGTGAAGTTAGCATTATGATTGGTAGATTACCATTCATAAATGTAGATGCTTTGTCACTGTTTTTTATTGTTAGGGAGTTGAATTTGAAATCGACATAGCTCCATGATTGAAACTGCAAGCAGCATTTGGTGAAATGAGCTGAGCAAGTGTTGATTGACTATGGGGTTTTGTTATTTTGCAGTGAGAAGCTGTTAGGATCGAGGAAAGATGGCGCGACGCTGCCGCTAGTAAACAGGAGTATGATACATTTGCCGCATCCGCGCAGCAGCTGAGTCGTCTTACATGGCCACTCGCATTGGAGACTTGTGTTACTTATTTCCTTTTCATTTCCTCTTACTTCTTGCAGGCAGATAGTAAAAATCTATATGTATAGAAAAAGTCATTTACCAAGGTAGAAAATTTGTAAAATCTCCTCCTCTTGTTTCAAAAATTTCCCAAAAGGATTCTTGTTTCTGTCCTCGGCTCTTTCTTTCTAGTTTATTCATCAGAATTAGCAAAAGCACTGTAATGGCCCGTTAACGGATTAACGGGGATTAATAAAATAGTTCCACCCCATTTGCACGCTCGTCTGCAAAACCAAAATTATCTTTACGAGTCTTTGACTCAGTCAATGGGTGAGCCTTTCTCTTTCCTCTGGCTATAAGATTATTGAAGAAAAATGCACATGCATGTGTACCATACTTTATCGTTCTGTTACTGTATTTCGCCATACATCTGCAAGCGGCCCTGACTGTTATAGATAAGTAAGATATATATTCATCATTTTGGCAACTCTTATCAAAACCAAGGGATCGAAACACGAATATCTCAAAAGGAATTTAAGTCGTGGAGAGTGGCAGCAAAGATCAATGCGTAATGTCACATCACAAAGTAACTACGCTGTGCACCTTAAGTTGTATATGTCCCATTTTAGCCCCAAAGCCTCTCATCTTTCTTGTCTTTTGGATTCACTGAGGCGGGGTCCACTTTTCACCTTAATACGGGCCGATTTTAAGCCCAGTTGAACAGTCTGGCTATCACACTCGTAGTCGTGTTATTTGCTGCTTCTTTTTTTCTTTGTAAATTCAAAACAGAACAAAATTGAAATAGAAAACCACACACAAATGAGTTTTTTTGAAAAATGAAAAGGAATTTTAATGAATACAGATTTTATTGTTGTCTGGAAAACAGAACAAAATATGGATATCCACATATCCCAAACTAATTTGATCCTACCCATTAATCTTTTTCTCCTTTGAAATATAAAAATTTGCAGAAAAGAAAATTTGTCAGGTTTCAGGATTTATGGAGCCCAGTAACACCCAATAATAAATTCAGGGAAAACAAATATAAAGAATAAATAACAAAAACCCATAACAACCAAAGAGCTTCCCCAGTTTTCATTTTCCTCAATAATCACTCCCTGACTCTCTCTCTCTCATCTACTTCACAACATCAAAGATCTTTACTTTTTCATAAGACCAGACCAAAAGGAGTGAGTAATAAAAAGAAAATCTTCAATGGATCTTTCTTCTCCTCGCGCTTCTTCTACTCTCACGCTAATCTTCATAGTTCTGCTCTTAGCTTCCACAGGTAAAACTAGTTCTTTAGTCTCACTCTCACTCTGAACAAAATATTGTCTCATTTCAAAGTTTCATTATTTTTATTTTCTTTTTTCTTTTAAAATATCTTCTTAGGTTCGTATGGCTCAACATTCACATTCGCAAATCGGTGCGCTTTCACCGTATGGCCTGGAATTCTGGCGAATGCGGGCTCTCCTACTCTCTCCACCACCGGATTCGAGCTCCCTAAGGACTCCGCTCGCTCTCTCCAAGCCCCAACCGGCTGGTCCGGTCGATTCTGGGCTCGAACCGGTTGCAAATTCGACGGTTCTGGCTCCGGTACATGCACAACCGGAGATTGCGGCTCCAACCAGGTCGAATGCGGCGGACTCGGCGCCGCACCACCTGTAACTCTCGCTGAGTTCACTCTAGGCACAGGCGGCGACGATTTCTACGACGTGAGCCTCGTCGACGGCTACAACCTCCCGATGATCGTTGAAGTCGCCGGTGGATCTGGTCAGTGTGCTTCTACGGGATGCACTTCCGATCTAAACCTTCAGTGCCCTGCTGAGCTCCGTTTCGGCGACGGAGACGCGTGTAAAAGCGCGTGTGAGGCGTTTCGGAGTCCTGAGTACTGCTGCAGCGGCGCGTACGCTACACCTTCGACTTGTCGGCCTTCCGTATACTCGACGATGTTCAAAGCGGCGTGTCCTCGCTCCTATAGCTACGCCTATGACGATGCTACGAGCACCTTCACTTGCTCCGGTGGAGATTACACGGTGACGTTTTGTCCCTCTTCCCCTAGGTAAATGCCCTCGATTTTCTCACTTACTATAATACACTCTATTCTTTGTTTTCCACAATTTGTGGGTTTTTCTGAAAAAAATATTGAAACTTTATGTGCTAATGGATTTCCGAATAATTAATCTTAGGAGCTTTGTCTTTTTAATGGAAGATTTTGGCCATTTGTTTTTTCATTTTTGCAAAAGCCGAAGTTTGTTTCTCTTCTTTTCATAAACATTTGTAAAGGCAGAAAGATTCTCTTTGTTTGTCAATAACGATGAATTTTCATTTTTCACGATAAAGTTTGTAGGAATTGTTAGTAGGAAATGTTAGTAGAAAATTAGTACTTTTTTGAAAGCGCAAGGTGCAATATCAGAAATTACAGTTAATTGATTAGTGTTTTTACCATTTTCTTATAAACAGTCAGAAGTCGACTAGCTACTCCCCACCAGTTTCAGACTCGTCGGCGACCTCACAAGGTGCAGATCCTGTTCCCGGTTCGGATACTGGTTTCTCGGGTCAGGGTCAGCAAGCTCAGGGTCAAGGATTTGGGTACGGGTCTGAGGGAACTGGGTCGGATACTGGTTCTTCGGGAGAGACAATGTTACAAGACGGATCATGGATGGCTGGTTTGGCCATGGGAGGCTCGACCAGATCAGCAGGCCAATCACTGGCAATGCTAGTCGCGACATTCACCATTGTACCCTTTGCTTTGCCGTTTATTTTCTTGTAGCATCATCATCTTGAGTTCTTTTGGTAGTCGTTTTGTTAGCATTGCCTTGTTTAATTTTAAGCTACGTCTACTTTGGCTTAGGACTGTGACAAATTGTGTTTTAGGGTTTTTTGTATTGTAGCTTTGTGCGTGCTTGGTCTTGTTGAATCTGTCATTGAAGAATCTTCCATGTTCGAAACTGTGAGATATGTTTTGTGATATTAATGATCTTAAGTGGATGATTTGAAGATTAGTATGTTTTATTTCCTGAGAATAACATTTATCTTAACTCTATATGATAAGAATGTAGCAAGAGGCAAGCTGGGCCTCACAGGCAATGGCTGTGCGATGTGAATGATGCCACATTGCTTCTCTAAGTTACTTTTTCAGGGATTTGATGTCTGAATCTGTCATAAAATTTATGAAAAAGTTTCCCCACGCCACAAAGTTGTGTCCCATTTCATCCCCTCTTTTTTGACCTTCTGTCACTTTTGTTTCCACCACTGCATTTTAATTATCTTTTAGCCTACTTATTTTATGTTGATAGTAGTACACTAGCACAGATAAGGTCTTCGTTATGCTACATACTTTTACTATATCTATCGACCATAAGATTCGCAGCGTAGTTAAAGAGACAATCTTAAGCATGCATAAGAATAAGATGGATTAGATTTGGAGCCTAACATGTTTGGTCTGAAGGTCTGGAGATAGCGAGAAAGACGAGTTAACCGTTCTGCCCTTGTATAAGATGCCGACTCTATACTCTCCCAAAAAGCCGAAGAAGCTGAAAGAGCCATGGTCGTCGGTCGTGGCCTTAACCTGACCGGTCTTCCATTCTTTAAGCTTCTGATCCACCACGTCTCCGGCCGGAAGATTCTGGAATTTATCGTCGGTTAGGCACATTTCGTAACAGCCGTTAGGGTGAAGTGCGGTCCATAGCATCATACCCTTCACCGATGGGTGCGAGAACCCTTCTCGTAACACTTGCTCCAAATATATCGCCTGCTTACACACACCAATAAACCTCCGAAATTCAAATGTTGGTTTATCAATGAAAGTAAACCGGGTTAAACCGAAAACGGCCAGGGAAATGCAGTACCTGAGTGCGGTGGTCAAGAGTGGAACTGATATCAATCTCGGTGAGCCAGATTGGCAGCTCGAGCGTCGCGAGCTTGTCGAGGTTTGCTCTCATCAGCGCCGCGTTCGGCACCGTGAAGTGACCTTCGATTCCGATTCCGTCCATCCGTACGCCTCCGCCGTCGTACCGCTCGAGTTCCCTGACCCTCGCGATGTACTCGTCCACCGTCGACCTCTCGTCGCTGCAAGTCTCCACCACGTTGAAATCATTCAGGAAAAGAGTCGCCAGCGAGTCGTACTCACGCGCCGCCGCGAAGAACTCGTACGACGCGTTTTTCCCCAGACGGCTTTCGTAGAAGTCGAAGTGAAGCATCTCGTTGCTCACGTCCCAGTGCACGAACTCTCCTCTGTACCGAGTCATTAGACTCCGGATTCTCCGGTTCACTGCAGACCGGAGATCTTCTCCGGTTAGATTGCGAACCCAGGCGGGTGTGTATTTGGGATCTTCCCAGAAGATGTTATGGCCACGAGCGATGATTCGGTTGGCCCTGACGAAATTCATCATCTGATCAGCGAATGTGTAATTGAGTTTGCCTTGATTGGGCTCCGTCGCGTACCATTTCAGCTCGTTCTCAAACACCGTCCCGTCGAATCTCTTCACGAACCACTCCTACGGCAAAAAACCAAATCATCAACGTTCCATGAAAATGGCATTTGTGTTTAGGGGAATTGCTGGTCTGTTTACCTGGTAAGGAATGTTGCCGAGAATGGTTTTGGAGATGGCAGATCCAATGGGGAAGTCTTTAGAGATCTGCTCTACTCTCACCACTGCTCCTTCAACGCTCTCTCCGTTTTCTCCGGCCACGTGAATTGTCACTGCTCGTTTTCTCGCCTGGAAATGGTTTCGAAATTATTCAAGCTTTCTATGAAGTCTAGAAAGTTTTTATTTTTGTTTTGAATTTTTTACGGTGTCAATGAAGGAATCTTGGTTGTTCCTCCATTGGTCCTGCGTGAAGGGCTGAAGGGAAGCACTCGCGACTTGTAATTGGATCTTGCCATCGTCGTTTGATGTCTGCATTATCAGAAATATTCAATACTGAAATCATTTGATCAAAATCTTGTGAGCAGATATATGGAACTAATTACCTCAAAGAAGAGGATGGATAGTTTAGAAGGAGAATCAAGAAGGAAGCCGCCTTTGAGGAATGACCAACAACCATGTTTGGCAGATACAGAACCGACACAGTTTAAAGTGTCGTTGTCTGTTCTCAGCTTTGCTCTTACACGAGCTGTTGCAGAACCAGCCTCAATCCTCACCCAGACTGTTTTTTCATAAGTCATCAAACCAGTCAGACCGTCACATTCTTTCTTCATCTGGTAACATGATTCTTATGGAAGAATGAAATACTTAACTGGAGAAACAATATATGGTATTTTGTGTTAGATTTTGCAATATGTAAGCTGGTGTGTAACGAGCACCAGTCCTTGTTACTGCGACAGAAGCTTCGCTGTCTCTCAGCAATCCTCCATTGTAAAGTGGCTTCTCCGGTTCTGATTTACACTGCTCAGTTCCAGTTGCATTTTACAAAATCAGTATTCACTTACTTTCCATATACAATACACGAAGTTGTAATGATTCAAAGCTTTAAACCTCTGTGTAGGCAGTAGAATCGTAGAAAGGTCCATCTGCACACATGAAGATCAAACATCTATCAAACTCAAATCTTGTGCATATATGTGTTTATTGGCGTGTATATATACCATTTGACGAAGAGGCTAGAGTGAAGGCGGTGAGGAGAGAAATGGCCCAGAAAATCAAAGCAGACATGGCAGAATGCTGCATGATTCAAAGCAAGAAGACAAGAAGTCTTGGAGATATGAAAGGAAAGGAGAGAAATTAGGGGGATGAAACCAATAAACCAAGTGTCTGGATATGATTGGATGGGAGGTTAGGCAATTCCCTATTTGGGAAGAGATGGATTCAGAGAGGGAACAATATATGTCAGAATTCAGAAACACAAAAACACAGAAACTATTAAGTGAGTTCACGTGAGGATGTTGTTATACGCGAGAAGTTGGTTTTGTGTCATGTGAAGTCGTGCTTTTTCTATGTATAGAGGCAACTACTTTAGTACTGTCACTCTATGCCATGGGAGGATGCTTTGGGTACAAGTTAACTTTTACACCCATTTCTTGTCTCTTTTGGGTATGTGCGTGTAAACACTGTGCAACATTCAAGTGCACGCTCCTTACTCCTTGGGGACCATTTCCTCTCGCATGCTACGTTTTTGGGCTTTAACAAGGTCAGTTCCATTGCGCACTATTGGATTGGGCTCGATAAAGTCTTTTATTATGTTTTCTCGGATGGAGGAGTCTCTGAATCTAAATAATTTATCTCTTGGGATAGGATCTTTTCTCTATTTATTATTTGTTGCAATTTGTATTTTAATGCGCCCTGAAGATAACGTTTAGTAATACACGCTCTCTTTCTTTTGGGGTCAAACATTTAGTAATCCACTCCAAACTCCAAAGTCTACTGTTTTCATTAGATTACCTTTTCCTTTTGGACGGTAATTTTAATTTAAAATCAACGAATTAATTATATGATCGAGAATTGCGGTGGCAATCGTTTTCGATCATCTTCGCTTCGCCGCTTGGGCGGTGGTCTTCGTCGTCGCCACTAATAATTAGTGTGATTTCAGTTATTTTACAAATGCAAAATCCAGTCTCGTCGTCTTCTGCTGCTGTTACCTTCTTCTCTTTTTAGCTCAACTCCGGAGGCAGAGCCGGAGCTTTATTTTCCCTCTCTGACTGTCTTTGGACGACCATGGCGGCGGACGACGGCGACAACACCAAATTCTCTGCAATCTACGACTCATCTTCTCCGTCGCAGCCTCTTCTCTCAAAACCCTCCACATCCGCTCTCGGTTCTCCGCGTAGAAGTGATCCTGAATCCGACCCGACCCAATTTCTCCAGATCTCGTACAATTTTGGCCCCAGACCTTTCAAAGACATCCCTTTCCTTCTTCTCTTCAACCTCTTCGTCTTGTCCACTTTCGGTTTCGGAATCTTCTCCGTTTTCCATAGGAATAGTGACTACGGGAGCTCCTCTTCCTTCACCTACGATCTCTCATCTAGCTCCTGCGTCAAAAATTCCACCTCTACGAACTGGGCTTCTTCGAGTGTGATGATCCCTTCTTCTGATTCAGTCTTTGAGAAGGATTTGATCTGGAGCCTCGTTGTAACGCTGATTCTAAGCGTGCCCTTGTGTTTTCTAGTCCTTGTTTTGCTCAAACACTACACTAAGCAGATAGTCTATGCTTGCTTGCCTCTCTTCGTCGCATTTCCAATCTTTTTCAATGTGTATTGGTTCGTCGCTTGTACTCTTAGCTCTTCTTGTAGCGATGTCCTCCCTCTAGCTTACAGAATCCTAGTCCTAGTCTTCGTCTTCTTGATCATCGGGATCATTGTCTGGATCCAAGTTGCTAATTGGCACAGAATCGAGCTCACCATCCACATCATCGGCGTTGCATCGGATGCCTTGTCCAAAAACTTGAAGCTTTTTCTTGTGTTGCCGTTGCTGACACTCGGCTTGGTGGTTTACTATGCGCCGATTGTGGTGTTCTTGGTGTTTGCAAGGTTTAACGGAAAGTTTGTGCCGAGAGAATCTGATGGTGAATACTCTTGTGAGTGGAAGCAAGATTCATGGGTTCCTGCGTATTTCGCACTCGCCATCGTAACGATGCTCTGGTCTCTTGCTGTAATGGTGGAAATGCAAGTCTATGTGATTAGTGGAGCAATCTCTCAGTGGTATTTCTCCAAGGAAGACTCCATGCCTAAAAAATGCATCCGTACTTCTTTGAGGTATCTTTGGTTTGGTTCCTCTAGTTTTTTTATGTGCAGTGTTTGCTTACAATCAACTGTGGCACTCTTATAGTTTATATCATTCTCGAAATGCTTTGTCCACTTTAGCACTATATCTTGCCGTTTTTGTATTGAACCCCATCTTCTATCTTCTAATCTTGTTTGTTACTTCCAACTGAATCTGCTGTGCGACTCTAAACTATCTCTACTCTATATATATCTTCAGGAACGCATTTGGGCAATCCTTTGGTACAATATGTCTGTCAGGAATTCTCATCGCCGTTGTTCGTGTAGTGCGAGCCATTGTGGACAACGCAAGAGAAGAGAACCCACAGGGCATAGTGAACTTGGTTCTCCGTTGCTGCGCAAGCGCCCTACTTGGAGCTATCGACTATCTCAACAAGTTCACAATCAACTTCGCTGCAATCACCGGTGAAGCCTATTGCACCTCTGCCAAAATGACTTACGAACTCTTAAGGCGCAATCTGCTCTCTGCTGTCTTTGTCGAAACAGTTTCCACTCGGATCCTAACCGGGATTGTCTTTGTCCTCTCATCCGCTTATGCAGTCGCGGTGAGTAACAAACTTGTGCTTCTCACCAAACATTTTTGATCGTCTGAGTTACTAATGATAATGTGATAAATCAGACATGGGCAGTTCTGAGAGGAGTGAGCAACTTGGGTAAAGATTCCTACCTGGTGGCAGTCCTCGCATGGCTAGTGTTGATTGTGATATTGGCTTTCCTTGTAAATGTTCTTGATAATGTGATCGACACGATCTATGTGTGTTACGCCATCGATCGAGACAAGGGAGATGTTTGCAAGCAGGAAGTTCACGAGGTCTATGTTCACTTGCCTATCAGCAGAAGCAACAGATCTCCCCTCATCCCAAATGCTCTTAATGCATAGATGAACATTATCAATGTCTTTGCTTTGTCCTTGTTGTATTCGTTTTCATTCGGTTTTTCACCATTGTAAATTCCTGAATGAGTTCCTGAATTGTCCCTCTGTTTGTGTAGAGTTTTGGGCTAGTCAGTCATTCAATAAAAAGATTAGTTGTGTTAATTACTGTAAGGAGGTCTCTGTTTCTTTTATCTAATACTCTGTTAATTGTTATCATCATCCGGTTGTTTTTTATCTTATTTGGAAACTAGGAAATTAAAAATTATTAAATTAAATTTGTAATTCGGTTTTGTGATCTGATATAAAAATGAAATAAACATAAAATACGAGGTGGTAAAGAAGGAAAAGGAAAATAGGAAGGCCTATTTAAAAAGCACTATGTCACGTTTCGCTTATCGGTCTAAAATCTAAATCTTAGAAGTGCCTGACTTTCTCTCTACGACAAAGTTGAAGCTCTCTCTCTCTCTCTCTCTCTCTCTCTCTCAACTTTTCGACACAATGGTTCTTGAGGTGATTATCGATTTACATGTGCTTCTGATTTGATTATTTCGATTTCTTCGTCGATCTCCTTGTTTGATGCTTAATTGACCACCGAATTGGATGTTTTCTGTGCGCAGGCGACTATGATATGCATCGACAACTCCGAGTGGATGCGAAACGGAGATTACTCTCCGTCTAGGTTACAGGCTCAAACGGAAGCTGTTAATCTTCTCTGCGGGGCCAAAACCCAGGTAATTTGAGCACCTATCAACGTATTTTGTCACTGGATTCGATTAGGGTTTCTGTGTGTGATTTAGGGATCTTTCTTTTGCAATTGCAGTCGAATCCGGAGAACACGGTGGGGGTTTTGACAATGGCAGGGAAGGGGGTTAGGGTTTTGACAACTCCTACCTCTGATCTTGGCAAAATTTTGGCGTGTATGCACGGTAAGTCTCTAAACGCGTTCACGAAACCTCTTGTAGTTATTCCCTGCTGAGAGCAATTGGAAATTTGTCTAGTTTTGCTATCGCTTTGTCTATGAATCTCTAAACACGTTCACGATACTTCGTTATTCCTGTAAAAGAGCAATTGGAAATTTGTCTAGTTTTGCTATCGCTTAGGTTCTTTTTGTGTAGGAATCATTGAGTTTGATAGGTTTTGAAATCATCTTTTCAGGCCTTGATGTGGGAGGGGAGATTAACTTAACAGCAGCGATCCAGATTGCTCAGCTTGCTCTTAAGCATCGCCAAAACAAGAATCAACGCCAAAGGATTATAGTTTTTGCTGGAAGGTAGTACTGAGTTTCTTGTGTGCTTAGTATTGTACTTCTTTTTCTGTATAGTTTATCTGATGTCTGTCTTGTGCTTCTGCTTTTTAGTCCAATCAAGTATGAAAAGAAGGCCTTAGAGTTAGTAGGGAAAAGGCTCAAAAAGAATAGCGTCTCTCTTGACATAGTCAATTTCGGAGAAGACGATGATGAGGAAAAGCCTCAGAAACTGGAGGCCCTCCTTTCAGCTGTCAATAACAACGATGGCAGCCACATTGTTCATGTACCATCTGGGGCCAATGCTCTCTCCGATGTGCTGCTCAGGTAATTGCATGTTGTTTGGTTTAGTTCTTTCAGCTCTGGAGTCTTAAGTTTGTATCATTGCTACAAAATTTAGCTGTTACGTCATCCAATTAAAGGAGATTGTTTTGATATGACTGTCTCTAGTCGAAATTATCTTGGCAATGTGTAATTTTTTTTGTTGATTTTCTTACAGCACACCTGTATTCACCGGTGATGAGGGTGCAAGTGGGTACGTTTCTGCGGCAGCTGCTGCAGCTGCAGCTGGTGGGGACTTTGACTTTGGTGTGGATCCAAACATCGATCCAGAGCTTGCTCTCGCCCTTCGGGTCTCCATGGAGGAGGAGAGAGCAAGGCAAGAGGCAGCTGCAAAGAAGGCAGCCGATGAGGCAGGAGGCCAGAAAGGCAAAGATGGGGACACAGCTTCTGCCTCACAGGAGACAGTTGCTAGGACATCTGAGAAGAATGCCGAACCAATGGTTAGTTGTTTCTCATATTTTGCAACAGGCAGAGATTGTTTATCTTGTATACAAGTGTTTTTACATGAAACAAATAAAATTTGTGGCAGGATGAGGACAATGCGTTGCTAGATCAGGCAATTGCTATGTCTGTAGGTGATGTTAACATGTCAGAAGCGGCTGATGAGGACCAGGATCTGGCTTTAGGTACGTAGAAAGGCTATCAAACTCGGCCTTTGCTTGTATACATTACTTAAACATAGAGAATTTGATGAATATGGTGTTGATCCATCCATGTGCAGCTCTGCAAATGTCAATGAGTGGGGAAGAGTCAAGTGAAGCTGCAGGTGCTGGAAACCTCTTAGGAGATCAAGCTTTCATATCGTCTGTTCTCTCATCGGTAAGACATTGTTTTTATCAACAAAATGAAAAAGAAAAGTAGCAAGCGTTGGTTAGTTTTGGTCTTGAATGTTTTGTGATCACACAGCTTCCAGGAGTGGATCCAAATGATCCAGCGGTTAAAGCGCTGCTAGCATCTCTGCCAGACGAATCAAAGGTGCGTGTCTCTTCCTTCATTGCCTTTTCTTTTTTACATCTTTTGGTCATTTGGTGAAGAATAATTTTTGTATTATTTATTGATATCCTAAATTGGCAGCGTAACGAGGAGGAAGAGAGTAGTAGCAAAGGTGAGGATGAGAAGAAGTGAACAAGAGACGACTTATCAATTATGATGATCTCAATAAATTTCCTCTTTGTATCTTTGGTTTGTTTCATATCGAAAGACTGCAACTGTTGAAGAACTCTTTTCTTAAATTTCTCTCTGACTTTGACCTTAGTTTGCTTTTCTTTTTTTAATGTTATTATTTTCCGTATTGGCAATATAAAAAAAATAACCAATCCGAATTGCCCAACTCTGAACCAAGTCAAAACCAAATGGGCCTGGATACCGCCCATATCCAGTCCAAATGGGTCCCGGTATCGCCCTATATCTAATCCTATTGGGCTTAACCACGACCCATATCTAATCTTATTAGGCGCAGCCGTGGCCCATTTACAATCTTAATGGGCCTGGGGTTCGGCCCATCTCCATTCTTAACGGGCCTAATTCGGCCCATATATAATCTTAATGGGCCATATCATAATTTTTTGGGCCCAAATTCGGCCCATTTCCAAGCTTAATGGGCCCGGATTTCGGCCCATATTCCGCCTTACGGGCCTAATTCGGCCCATTAACAATTTTCAATGGCCCATATCATAATGTATTTGAGCCCAAATCCGGCCCTTTTTAATATTAATGGGCCCTGGTTTCAGCCCATATTCAGCCTTAACGGGTTTTATTTGGCCCGAAGGCCTGAGACTAGTTCACGTGCGTTCGCCAACTTGAGTTTTTGATAGACCAAAATGAAATGACACAGATAATGTAAAGAGGTGGGATAATAAGCCTATCATCATTCTTTATCTACACAATAATTTAGAGTTCTTTTCTGCAAAGACAGAGGAACGAACCAAAAAGAAAAACGAAAAAAGAGCTAAAGAAGCTTCAGACAACACATTCTCATTACAAGACGCCTCCGCAAGAGACCTGGCATTCGGGGCATCTTGGGCTTTTGTGAGATCATAAATACCCAGAGCAGAATCAAAATCAGAGTCTTCTGATATTTAATATACAGACAAGGGCTTTTTTTGTCTCAACCGAGAGATGCATAAGCTCCTTATGATAGATCGAACGATCCTTGCCCTTCGTTGATGGCGTAGAGCAGTTTCTTGTACATGATTTCCTGTTTCAGGTACAACGAGGAAATTCATCAGGCTTTACACACAACAAGAGAAACATGAAAAAGACGAAAAAAAGAGACATGAAGACACTCTCACCTTTGTAGAATAAGGAGGGAGCTTAAGGTAGTTGGCGCAAGTCATTACGCTGGGAAGATCATCGTCTGCCGTCTCTGAAGCCCCCGTTCCGTTGGCCGCCGCACTTGAGGTTGATGAGTGCTGTAGCAGCCAAACACAATTCAATTTTTTAACGAAAAACCATTACATAAAAACAACTTGAACATCACACTCTTAGATATATGGTCGCTACAATTACAAACAATTTACCTTTCTCACAATTGTCAGCTTTGGATTCAGAACAGCTAAGCCACCAGGAGGAAGCCTAGGAGCTCCGGTTACAAATTGGCAGAAAGCCCTCTGTTGATCTGCTGTTAGCTCTCCCATGATCTCCAATAACTACAGTGAGTGTCGAAAAGGGATCAACACCAAAAACATAAATGATTTCTCTATAAACTCGATAAAAAGGGGCAAAGTAGCATTACGTTAACTATCGCTGGACTTTTGGCAGTATAGCCGTGATCAAACTTGATATGTTCAGCAAGAGTCTCCGCCTGCAAGAAAATAAGCTTTTAGAAAATTCTACCTTAAAAAATTTAAAGTCTGCTGTGTATCTGGAAACTAAAAAAAGTTAGAAAAATCACCTCCCACAACTCTCTTCGACCACACAGCAAGTAGTCCAACTCAGAAGGGGTGAATATTTGTAGAGACGTTATGTCAAACACCTAATAATCCATGTGCACAAAACAGAGAGGTTTTGTAAGGGCATAAGCGCAGGTCAAAAGGTTTGAGGCCAGATTAAAACAAAAGTCTCTAACCAACAGAAACCAATCTTACTTATATTATTTACAAGTCAAAGAAACAGAGTCCGCTTACCTGATTGAATCCAGATCTGAAGGCTTCGATCTGCCGGGCGACACCTCTCTTGACAGTAGCTTCAACAACCATGGATATATACTCCTCAAGACTATTAATATCAACCTGTAACAGACACAACAGCACGGAATCAGCAAGTATGGACAAGGACTAAAAGATTAGTAAGACGTGTGGGATGTAAGCTTTAGACAGTACAATTTCATCTCCTGGTCTCAGAATGTATTCAGGATAGCCAGGTAGCGTGAAGTCCAAGCAGAGATCTTCTATACGGGATCCACGTAAGAATAAATCAGATA